TGTTGCTTCAAGCGCATCATTCTGCACACCGGATGCGCACATTGTAAGCGCTTCGTGCTCATAGACACTATGAAAACAGTTTGTGCTGCACTTTATTTGTTTTGTCCTATCGTATCTATCATATGTTGTTGCCTTATTAAAAAATATGCTATACATTCAAAATAAATGTATTTTAATTTTATAGTATATACTTAAACATTATTTGTTCCACACAAAATACTGTTTTTTTTCACTGAATGTTTGGATTTCTAAAATTATTGTGCACTGATTTTTCTAGAATAACTTTTGCTGCCGAATTATCCACTAACCTAGTTTATGATAGATTTTTGTCATATATTATAAATATACATAGGCCTATATTTTTTCATATTTATTGTTTATTTTATTTTTCTTTATAATGAAGTAGTCTGTATCTACTAGATTGGGAAAGAACGATTATCAGTTCCACACACAGAGATATATAAATTCTACATTTATTTAAATGGGGGGGGAAAAAACTTCACTGGTATCGGATCGGTATCTGTATCGGCCAATACCAAACCCTAGGTATCGGAGGCGAAAAAGGTGGATCGGAGCATCCCTAGTTGAACTAATTTTTTTCTGTTGCTTGTTTTGAATATTGCACGTGGACAGAGGCGTCACCAGATTTTTGCGTAGTTTAGAGTGACAAATGGTACCAGCGTACTTTGCGGTCAAAATGCAAAGCCGCTACGCAAAATGCGTACAGGTTGGCAGGTCTGATATCGGAGCAGCTTTCCAGCGGTGGAGAGAACTCAAGGAGCGGGAAGGCCTGTAATCAGATGTCGAGGTTGCTTTGTTTTTTCTTGATAGGTGAGGTACGTTGATGTTTACATTGAATTACCATAATAACACGCATCACTTTCACTTATTGACGACATCATACCCTCGGGCCGGCAGATTTCTCCGTCGTCGCTGCCAGTGTTGTGTATGTACGTGTGGGGTGGAGTTTTCAAAAAATGTGCGCAGTCCTGTTGGGGTATGGGCGTGTCTGTTTTGGTGATTTCAAATGTCAACATCGTTTGGCAAAATTCGCTTAGTGCACCTTATACATACTCAAAATATGTTTTATTCAGCATATACATACGTATTGAAACTATTTCTTGAAAAGAAAATATCTCCCTTTGTATTGAACTTTGAGTGTCGTAACTTGCAGACGTTGTTGATGCTCTAACAGCAACATTACACACTAACTAAAGTTAAAAAAGTGAAATAATTAACCACCCCTTTAAGACCTCAGTTTCTTTCTTCTGTTGGTCAAAAGAAATTATGAAGAATGTTGGTAGCCAAACTGCAGCCATTAACTTGTATACTATGGAAGTCAATGGCTAATGTCAACTGCTTTGTTACACACATTCTTCAAAATATCTTCCCTCTTGAAGGCGAGTAAAAGACAGAATTGTCATTTTTGGGTGAACTACCCCTTTAAGACACTGACCTGTGGGTTTTCCTGATCCTGCATACACTGAACCAACATACGCTTGATCACTTCCAGATAATGCTGCTGCTGATTGCCAAAGATACCTGGGAAGTTCCTGTATGATGAAACGGGTCAGAAACAGAATTCAGAATGTACTTTTACAACAAACTTATCCTGAATCAGTTTTGGGGAAGCAACTGAAACTGCAGTTGCTAAAATGTAAAGTTTACGCACCAGAAAATGTGCAGTGCTGCTTCTCGGAGGTTGACGTCCTGAGAGTTGACCGAATCGAACAGGAACTTGAGGATCTCTGGCCACTGATTGTTTCCGTCATCATCTTGGAATAAAAACACAAGGCATTAGTTCACATTGAGTCCATTCGGTGTGGCTGAACCGAAGTATGTGTTAACCAAGAGTTGACTAACCAATTAGATTGCGAGCGAGCTCCGCAGCAATATCGCAGACCTTCTTGCGGATGTTGGAGGAGCCTTCGGACTGGATTCCAGCGAGCAGCTCTGTCTTGATGGCCGTCTGCATGTCGATGGCCAGGCTGGGATAGACCTCCTCGAAAGACGAGGACAGCAGGCGCCGCAGCAGCACTGCTGCCATCTGCTTAACCTGTGGAGACACATTTGAGAGTTTTAGACACCATTTTTGCAAGGATGTGCTTTGGAAATAAAGCCGCAGGTTGAAATATGGGACTTAAAAGTTCAAGGTAAACAGATGAACCATTAGAGGGAAGTTTACAACTACAGGGCTGCCTGAGGAGACTCTGTTCCTGCACTACCGCGAGGAATGAAAAAGGCTGAAGAAGAGAGAAAAAAGAAACACTGCACGATTTCTTTTGAGAACCACCTAAAGTTACAAATAATGGTGCTGGTGATAGCGATCATGTGGTGAATGTTGATCCACCAGCTGAATAGAAAGCGTACAGTTTTCGGAGAGAGTGGTTGAAAGACTTCTAACGTTAGTGGCTCCGCTATGAAAATGGTTCTATGCACTGCATTCACTGTAAAGCCTGTGGGACGAAGTTTGCAGGTAACAGCGTTCGTCCCCGAATCTACACATTTCGTACTAATTGTTTTACGATGTGCGGTTTGACATTATCGAGTATATTGCAAAATCCAAACAAAACACCTACAGAGAGCGCACGCATACATGACGTGAAGTCTATTAGGTTAGATTAGTGCGCGTGCGCATTTAGAGTGCGTTCTTTCACAGCATGATTCAGTCTATTAAAATGCATCACAAAATTCAAGATATGGGGCCTTTACATCATTTCATCTAGTTCAGAGGTAGGCAATGTTTTGTAACATCTTTAGTTGATTGGAAATTCTTAATTATTGCCCTGATGGTGGAAATGGGAGTTTTCAATAGTTTGCCAATTGCTTGAGCAACTTGATATATAAATCTAGAAGTAAATGCAAAAGTAAAAAGCATCGAATATGTTGCTTATATTTATTGTGCTTAAACATGTCTGTGAAAGATTGTATTACTGTACTGTGTAAAAAAAAATAAAATAAAAAAAAAAGATTTGCAATGCTGAAAAAGCATTTTCAGTGACAATGTTTGGATTTTGAAATCAAAATAATGGATAAATGTTGCGTTTGTGGTAAACAGCCACGGATCAGTAGCGGACTCCTGTGTGAAAGCTGCTTCCCCTCTCACAAGAGTCACCCAAGTGGGGAATTCCCCCCCATTTTCAAAAATGAAATTCGGGCCCTGAATAAATGTAAAACGGTTATAAATGATAAAAAGGCGGCTTTAAAAAGATCAGTATCGTTTAACCGTATCGGCAGATACTGCTTTCTGTGATCAGCCTCAAAAACCCTGATCGGAGCACCCCTAATTAAAACTTAACACAAACTGTCGGGACGGACCTTTATGCAAAAATGTAAATGCTCACGTGAATGTGACATTTATACATAAGGATATGACCATAAACTGAAAGTTTTTGTGCTGAGGACACACACGCATCTGTCAAAGTGCCTGACAGGGCAAGCCATTACACTAATGCAGGGGTGCCCAACCCTGCTCCTGGCCATCGACTGTCCTGCAAAGTTCAGCTCCAACCCTAATCAAACACACCTGAAGCAACTAATTAAGGTCTTCAGGATCACTCAAATTAAAGGCAGGTGCGTTTGATTAGAGTTGGAGCTAAACTTTGCAGGACAGTCGATCGCCAGGAGCAGGGTTGGGCACCCCTGCACTAATGCATTAGCTTAAAGCTTAAAATAAAGAATTCTCATGTTTTGGGCACCTTGGATCACGGGAACTCTCCCGCAGCATCTCATTCCGTTTCCTCCACTATTTTTCGATGCATTTAGTCCATAGAAATGCACAATTCAGTGCTGAAGTTGGACGTGCACTCTGGGCAGACCCGACTAATCGATAATGAGAATCGTTGTCGATGATTTTCATAATCGATAAGTTGTTGCAGCCCTAGTCTGAATAAGTTGCTGGTCTCATCTTGAGCAATCAGTGGTTCCTGAAACCAAATTCAACCCTAGCATAAACATAGGTCCAGTCTGAACAATACCAGAGTCTCCATTTAACCTTGCCCACTCGTGGTCAGCACAACGTTGCTACTTAACTACTAATAACATCGCGAAGACCACAAGACAATGGCACACCAGCTGACCCTGAGAGAGCAGGTATGAGGCATAATGGATGGTGTAAACAAAAGCACTTTCTGTCATATATACGGTTTAAAGACAATGCATCTCTAAATGGAAGCCTGAAAAAAAATATTACAGTGCAGATGACAGTAAACAGACTCCCATACCTCCTCTGCAGCGGATACATCGCGGATGGCCTGCAGTAAAAATGTGATCTTCGTCTGACCGGGGATGGTGTCATACGTTTCCTACAAGAGCAAATGAAGAAGTTAATGACTGGCATCACAGTTTATACATATAAATGGTTGCAAGTAGGGATGCTCTGATCAGGATTTTTGCAGCCGATACCGAGTACCGATTTCTTGTCATGGGGCTCGGCCGAAACCCATGCCGATTCTGATGTTTCAAGCTTATATATAGACCGTTTCATCGGGCGCACGTGCCTGGCCCAAAGTTAACTTCCGGTCTGTGTTTGTTTATCAGTCTGGCTATGGCACTGGCTACAAACGCAGTTAAAGTTAAGGTGATGAGTAGACTGATGTTGGGCTCAGGTGGTTGTGCTGTGGAATGTGCTTCCCATACATCTATGTGTGGCACTCGCCACAACATCAAAACTGACCGATTTTTTAAAAGGCTTCATTGAATAAACAGGAGCACGTACTGCACGTTTAAAAACCAAAACGAGGCGCGGGTGTTTTTATATCACTGCATTTCTAAAGGAAGACTATCTTTAGAAATGTAGCGAATCAGCTCAAAGGGGAAATATGAATTAATCATAATTAGTTATAATTAATCAGAAATATTTAGATCCGCTGTAAGCATTCATTTGGTACTATGATACTTCAAATGGTACCATAGCAGCTATGGTACCATTTGATATTCAGCAGATCTACCACCTGAAGGAAACATCAGATTCTTAGTTCAAACACACCTTTGTAAAAAGGTGCAAATGCTACTTAATGTATCAATTAATAAGACTAAGTTTGATACTCGCACGTCTTGTCTGTCTGAAAGAGAGTCCTGATGCAATCTGAAGGCTCAAGTTGATCTTGCTGAAGTTGGTTGATGAAAAAGAACCAGTTTGAGTCAGAGGATCTTTGGTGAATGGAAAGTCAAGGCCCGAGGCCTGGCGCAGACTTAGGGTGTCCTTAGAGGGGTGCTCACATTGTCATCTTCTCAGAATCTAACAGAACTGCCGGGCTTGAAAAAAAATATATCATGATACATATTGATATTGAATTATTGTCCAGCCCTATATGACATGAACGAGTGGTTCCATTATAAGCCTGCATAAAACAGTATTCAATATAAAAGACAATATACAAGGACAGTAACAACATACACAATGACCTGAAGGATATGCGTGTTCATTCAAAGAAAGGTTTTCCTATTAATTAATTAGAGAACAGTCCATTTCTACTGGGCATTATGTGTCTTTCCTATGAGGAAATTGAGTGAGTTTCTCTGCCCACATTCCTTTGGGCAATGGCAACCAATGCTGATATAACTGGTTTTAAGGAACCAGAGGCCTGTTCTGCCCCTCTGAGGTGCCAGATGCATTTCGGGGAAAGGCCCATAGACCCTCGTAATTGGCCCCTTGGCCAGGTGAGGGGGTGCCAGATATAATTTGTTAAATACAGAAAAAGTTGTGTCCGATTGGTCCAAATGCTACAGAAAATTGTCGACGTAATTTTTATTTCATCTTGCATGTTACATGTCTGATAAAGCAACGTTTGTGAGCTCAGCGCTGCTTTGTGTACAGCCGTTACCGGGGAAACCGGTTTCTCCCGCTTTATAGCACCTCCTGCTGGCAGAGAATGAATTTGCATTTTCAGCAAGTCCGTCTGATTTATGCAGCAAACATATTTTGCTTTTCCTATATTCACGGGCGCTGCGGATAAAAATGCATTCTGATTATTTGCGGGTGGATAAAATAAATAATAAATGCAAATATTAACTACATTTTTTTTCATGAGGCAAACGATTTCATGTGTGTGTGTTCGTTCGCCCGAGTCGGAAAGTTGAAGTGACAGAAACTGTGACATTCCAGATAAAGTTTGAAAAGAGTAAAGCCTGTGTTAATGCTACTGAGTAGGTTAATATGGCCAAAAAATATATTGTTTTATAAATGATCAGCGTATTATGTTACCATTACCCCTTAAGGCTTCGACAAGGTTTTGTTCCGTCCTCCACGCTGTGACAGCTCACAAAACTCATTCTCTGCCAGCAGGAGGCGCTCTTGGAGTGGTAGAGATCGAGGTTTCCCCGATAACGGCTGTACACAAAGCAGCACTCCGCTCACAAATGCTGCTTTATTAGACATTACATGCTAGATTAAATTTTCCTGATGACAGTCGGTTTCCTTCAGAAATACAGTGATATAAAAACACCCGCACCGGGTTTCGATTTTGAAACGTGCAGTGCTCATGTTTATTCAAAGAAGCCAAAGCCTTTTGGAAAATCAGTTTGTGGCGGTCAGTTTTGATATTGTGGCAGGCGCAACAAATAAATCATTGTATGGGAAACACTTATGGTGCAATGGGAATGAGTAATCAAAACAAGGAAGTCAGGCACACCTTTATTCTGGTGTTAACATCAAAGCTTTTGGAATCTTAAATGCAATCATTTCATAGGATTGTCAGACATAAGAGTGACATCACAGCTGATTTCCGGGGGCCATTTGGCCCTTGTCATGTGTGAGGGTATGAGGCAGTTTCCGCTGAGCATTAGCGGCAGGCTGGTCATGCATTGTCTTTGCTAAAGGAAAGTGCTGACCGATGGCAGAGATGAGCGATGAGACCCAATGACCCGTCCTGATCCACATGAGCTCAGGTTTGAACTACCCACAGATAAAGAAGCCCCTAACAAAAGACTAGTCTGAACACGTGCCAATGGGATCCCAGTCATCCATGCGAAAATGGGTTTATAAGTGCTTAGAGCAGGGATCCTCAAATCTGGCCCACGAGATCCACTTTCCTGCAGTTTAGCTCTAACCCTAATCAAACACACCTGAGCATGCTAATCAGTGTCTTCAGGATCATTAGAAAATCACAGGTAGCTGAGTTTGATCAGGGTTGGAGCTAAACTCTGCAGCGCATTGGCCCTCCAGGGCAAGATTTGAGGAACCCTGGCGTAGAGAAACTTAAAAGGTCTATGCTTTTGAATGCATATCCCTGACCCAAATCCAAAGTGTTTCCATGACATGACCGT